TTTTTGAGTTGATCACAAGCCCTGCCTTGTTGAGGTCATGTATGATTGATTGACATGTGGCTCGTGCTTTCGCTTCCGTGTCACAAAGGAAGAGGATGTCGTCGACATAAGGAATGACCCGTATGCCCATGGCTCACCAGCGCCGAGCGAGTTGTTTGATAAGTTGAGTAAAAACAAATGGGGCCGTCGCGAGGCCGAACGGGAGCGAGCGGAATATGTATGTCTTTCCGTCAAATCGAAATCCCAGGTACTTCCAGCACGATGGGTGAATATCCACGTGGTGATACCCAGACTTTAGGTCGATAGAGAACATCCAGTCGCCCATGCGAGCGATCTCCGCAACCCGATTGAGCCCCTCGTACTTGAATTTTGGAATGCGCAGGTGCAGGTTCACTTGGCGGAGGTCGAGGATGAGTCGGCATTTCTCTCTTTGGACCACCACGTTCAGTGGGCTAATGCATACGGTCTGAGCCGCGGGTGCAAGAGCAGCTGCGCCGCTTTCTAGGAGCTCGCTAATAGCCTGTTTGGTAAACTGGGCGTGGATCTGTGCGCCCGCATGATTTTCGCGCTGGAACGGCGCCGGAGGAATGAGTTCCCACGGCATCCAGTAACCGTGAAATATCACTGAGAGTATGAAGCTGCTGTCGCACCATGAGCTCCACCATGGGAATGCCAAGCGTAGCCGACCGCACATCCTTGTGACAAGCTTATCTGTGATTGCGTATTCGTAGGGGATGTGTCGCTCGCCCATACCGCCATCCGGTGGATCTGTGCAAGGGGTCGCAAAAAGGACACAGGCTGTGAAGGCGTTTTTTTTTTTTTTTTTTTTTTTTTTTTTTTTTTTTTTTTTTTTTTGCATCAGCTCTAGTTGCTATTAATACGAGTGCATGTACTAGCGAACAACGGGGCGGTGTATGGCCGAACCCTCACGAGGTGGGCCATTGACCCACCCTTCCCCTTCTCTTTCATATTGATATGTTCGCCTCTCTCTCCCTTATTGTTGTTGTTGTTGTTTTTTTTTTTTTTTGTCTGTCAACACCTAATATACACGACCTTAGGCTTGCCGTATGTGCACCCGAGGGCTCTCGATGTTGGACGAGCTCGAGGTGGGCTGCCGGGTTGTGCTTTGCACATTTTCTATGGTAACGTGCCTTGTCTCGTGGGCTCTTTGCCCATCGTGTCAATTGCGCGTAGTAATATGCTTCGTATGCCCTCCTTGTGCGCTTGTCGCGCAAGCGGCCCTCTCGTGTCCCGTTAAATTGGGCCGGTGCTGGCCAAATAGTGTGGCCTCCTTAAGAGTCAACATCTTCATCATCTCACACTTCTCCTTGTCTTTCTTTCTTTCTCCTCTTCTCCAATTTTTGTTGTTGTTGTTGTTGTTTTTTTTTTTTTTTTTTTAGTACCTCAACCGCTTAGGCCTCACTCTCCGAGGGCTGCTTGTTTCAATAATCCAGGTTCCAATATTTTAAATCTCATTCATTAAGCCACACATCAAAGATTGTCCACATTACTTGCCACTCCGGCCCATATTTCATGCTTTAACACGCATACAACTCATGATTGCCACCCATGGCTAAGTCCTAGGACTCCTAGTCCTACTCCCTTCCCTAGGGGTCGGCCGGCGGCCATTCTACTCGCCCCGCAGGGTCTGGCCATCGGCCTAAGCACACCATGTTGCCCATGCAACGTGCTCTCGGCGCCCCAAGTGGTTTCCCTCTCATAGGGTCACACCACCAGCGCGGGTCCTTGGGCCCCTCGCCCATTATCGGGGCACATATTGGCCATGTGGCCGGGCTGTCCGCACTTGAAGCAGGTTCCACGAAAGCTCCTGATGTTGTTGTCCATTGGTGGACCACGTTTGTTGCCAAATGCACCGGTTCCTCGCCCTCCACCTCGTGCGGCGCGGCCGGGGTTGCCTTGGGCGCGTTCCATGGCCGCAACGTCCGCCATGGCTTGCTTGAATGGGCGCGAGGTGAACAAGCTCTTCTCTTTAACATCTTGAACCGGTTAGCGACGCGGAAATTCGTGTAATCGACGACGTGGAGAAGCTTGAAACGATTATTGACGAGCAAGAGCGCCTCCTCGAGGAGTTCGATGGCGCTTGCCGGTTCGTTGAGCCGCACTTTCTGCTCCGCATGCATCAGGTAGGCGCGCAGGTCCTCAAGGAGCTCGGCTTGTTCAAGAACAGCGCCGTTCTTGAAGGAAGATGCGGTGAGGTTGGGGTTGGAGGTAAGGAGGGGGGGGAGGTGCTCGGTGGTTGAAAAAAAATGCATTATCGGCAGGTGCCTCACCAGCTTCGTCGTCGGAAGTGTCGCTGTCGGCAGGGTTTTCTGGGGCCGGGGTAGCTTTGGCGGTGGTGCCCTCGGCGCGTGCGATTTTTGCCGTGCGAGCGCGTTTCACCGTCTCCCTTTTTTCCTTCGCGCTTTTAGCAGAAATTGACGTTTCGTTTGGTGTAGCGTTGGTGTCCGTAACGGCGGGAGCTTGCTGCTGTAACAGGGACAACAGCTGCTGCAGTTGGGCCGATGTGAAGACAGGCGAGGCCACAGGCGCGTCAGGGGCCTGAGGCGCGTCAGGGGCCTGAGGCGCGTCAGGGCCCACGTACGCCTGAGGCCTCGCGTCAGGCGCGTGTGCCTGCCTGCGGCGCTGACGCTGACGGGGGGTGCCGGTCGCGCTGGCCGGCGTTGACTTGGCGCCCTCGTTGACTGCCGGCACCTTAGGCCCCTCAGGGGCCACTTGCGCTCGTGGCACACTAGGGGCGCGTGCCCCAGCGACGTCGGACAGCAGAATGTCGACGGCGGTCGGGGTCGACTCCTCGTCGTCTGCCCGACGCTTGTTCCGGCGTTCGCTCGCGGGTTCGCGGGTAGTATGTCCGTCGTCGGGACGAATTGAAGCGTTGGCGTTGTCACCGTTCTCGCCGTTAAGTGCCATAGTAGCTGCGTTATGAGCGAAAATGTCAGAAAGGAGTGTCGACGGATACTGGAAACGAGGTAGTGACTTCAATTTTGCCAGCTTGGAATTGGGAACTCGGAAACTAGGCTAAGCCGCTTGAAAATGAAAGACGTGGGTGGAAGGAAATGACCTCCAGCCCACGTTTCGTACTCCAAAACGGGCGTTTAGCGCGGTTCGCCGATGACCATTGCTACATGACAAGCCGCTTCGCTTTCAAAATACAAAATTGTGAAAAGCGTTACAACTTTTAAAAATATTCATGTTGTATTTTATGCCTGATTGGATACCCGTGCAGACTATATCTGTAGGTATGAAGCTGACTTCCTTGAGGGATACTGGAGCGATAATTGCATCTTGCTTTTGTCTAAGGAATGAAGGCAATCAAAAGGAAAACCGGAACACAGCCCTGAAATATACAGCCTTGGATACAAATGCAGCACAGAACCCAGTTGATGAACCGTAGTCATTATATTAGCCATATAGAGGGCACGACAAAGCATCCTCAATGACACGGTTAGTTCCAAGGTTATCGAGGTTGATACTAAGGTGAATCTCCAACTGGCACGACGCGGGAAACCTTGATTTTACATTCCACAGAGAGTTCACCGGACCTCAAAAATCGATTTTCCACCCACCCAAGGACCTCCAACCTCCCAAGTCCAGCTGACGACTACCAATTTCCACGGTTTTGCCTTCGAGGTAGAACTAGTATGGGGGAGTTTCATCACCGTCACAATCGCATGGCTCTCGTATAGTCGACTCTCGAATATCTAGCTGTATTGTGAACAGAACTCAGTGGCCTCGCCTCCGCTGAAGTGGACGGTGGCTGATCCCGACAACGTACACACTCCTTTCTGCAGTATTTTGCCCAGTTCAACTCTAGGTCTTAGTCGCAGGAGCTTCAAGCGAGACGTAAATTGGTCACTATGTTGGTGAGGACGTACCAGCGGAAACGCAAAGGAGTACCGAGCGATTCAGATGACTCGTTTGCGGAGTCAGCGTCGCAGGACTCGCAGTCGTTCTTCTCGTCGCAGTCGCAGGAGTTCCAACTGAACGGTCTTGCCTCGTCCCAGGTACGAGCCTGTGGCTCCAGCCCGCGATCGGCTTTCTTTCTATGCATATCTGGAGAAAGAACAAATTAGACTACTAAACATGTGCATCTAACATGTACATGCTCCTTATGCTCCAATTTCACGTATCCTGCCTGCATTTGCGTGCAATTGTCAAGCCTGATTCCTGCTTGTTATTGTGTTTCTGCTTCACAGAACTCTGATTGGTCGCTAGTCGGCAGCGATGATCCCGAAGCCTTGCTGGATCGTCCACGTTCGTTCCACTGCAAGGCCACCCCCCCTGGTGGACTCTTCTCACCGGAATCCGAACCTCTGCACCACTCTTGTTCCGAACCTGATGCCTTTCGCGGGTTTCTGTCCCAGCCGTCACGCTCCAGCCTCCCACCTCCCGGACCCTCTCGCACGAGAATCGAACCCAACCGAGTAGAACCGCGCCGGCGATTGGCAGCAAGCTGGCGAAGCCAAACGGACGGTGGAGATGATTCCAGCGGCTTTTTGAACCACGTAAAATTGAAGAAAGGCGGTAAAGGGAACCAGAGTAAAGGGAGCCAGGGTCAGGGGAGAAAGCAAGGTTGGCGCGGCAAGGCAGATGGCGCATCCCAAGAGGCGGAGGTAGAAACCCTAGGGCAGCGGAGGCCGTGCAATAAGAAGGTGCAGGGGGATAGTGAGCGAGAGAGCGATGCAGAGGAAGATGAGCTTCGGGAGCTGGAAGCACTGTTTAAGTCTCCAGTGCACCGCAGCACGTTCTTGACACAGAAGCAGAGCGGATCCCTCATGCCTGCCGCGGGAACTGCAGCCGCAGCAGCAGTAGCAGCGGCGGCAGCTGCAGCAGCAGGAGCCGCAGCGGCAGCAGCAGCCGGCACATCCCCACTGTGTTCACAGGAGCCGTATTTGCAAGACTCAGATTTTCCCGGGCCTAGAGGCGCCAGTCTATTGGAACCTGAGGAGTCAGATTTCCGGGGCCCTAGAGGGACGAGTCTGATGGAGGCGCAGGAGTCGGGTGAGATGATGGCCAGCTTGGATGAGGCCATGTTCGCACTAGATGGTCTGAAGCTGCGGCAGCCAATCAGGGTGCAGAGGTCAGCTGCCACGTCACTGGCGTCCATCTGCTCGGCTGTGGACCGCCGTCGCCTGCTGCGCTCGCAGGGGTGGGTTGGTTGGCTTGATGGTAGGAGGTGTCCTGCCACCTAAGTTTCATGTTTCTCTCTGTTGTCACAGGGGTAGCTTGGTTCACTTAACTGTAGGCTTGGTTATTAAGGATTGATTCGCCTTAGGGTTGGTCTTGAAGGTTAGGTCTCATATTGCCATTGTTCCATGTCTCACACTTGCCCAATCTTGAGAATCTGCATAACTCAATTCACCTTTGTCCATGTCTGTTTCTCTGGTCTCGTTTGCAGGCTAATAAAGCAGATCATGGATGCTCTTCTGCTTCTCCCAATAACGGATCATCCTCTTGCGCTGGCCGCTGCCTCTATTTTTTTCTTCGTCTCCTCTGATGTGAGTGCCCGGCTGCCTACAAATGCGCCTGTCAATTTTCTGGCAGGGACTTTGGTGCCTGACTGAGCTTCTCACCATGCCTTACTTTGTGCCCTGCGTCTTTCCACCATGTTTATGCACGTTTCTTCTGGGGCTGTTGCTATGCTTCTTTTGCTGTCCCTTTTCTTCTTCTGTTCTTTATTTGCTCCTCCCTGACTCCCCATTCACCCACTCAGGACGTGGAAAGCGACTTCCCAGACCCGTCCCATGCGCTCAGCTTCCTTCTAGCCCTCTTGAAACACCACAGCGCCCCCGCCCCTCCACCTGCCGGCCCAGGCTCTCGTCCCGCACCTGCATCTGCATCTGCTGCCACTCGCGACCCATCTCCTCCTGCCAGGGCAAGATTCAGCTGGCGAGAATGCCCTGTCAAGGGGGGGGAGAGGCGGGAGGCGGAAGCTGCAGCAGCAGCAGAGTGTAAGGTCAGGAAGCTGTTTCCGAGAGGGTTTGGGGGAGTGCTGTGGGATGGGGAGGAGGAGGAAGGGGAGGGGGAGGGGCAGCGGGAGGAGGAAGGGGGAAGAGGCCGTGGTGGTGGTACTGGTGGTGCTGGTGCTGCTGGTGGTACCGGCGATGGTGATGGTGGTGGTGGTGGTGGGTCGTCGGATGTGACTGTTGTGGCGCTGGTGTTGGCCACGCTGAAGCGGATTTGCTCTTCTGTTATCGCCCTCCAAGGTCTCAACCCCCCTTTCTTGGGCACTCATTTGTCTCCAAGCTTTCAGCGCGCCACATCTGATGCTTTGGATCCGTCCGGGTCTCCCTTGGGGAGTCGCTACGAACGGCTCACTGACAAGGAGCATGCCTCTTCTCCTGTTCATTGCTTGTGTTTTGCTGGCTGGATGGATGGATGGATGGATGGATGGATGGATGGATGGATGGATGGATGGTGCTATACCGAAAACTGCAACGTCACCACGGCACTTTTGAGAATCCTGAAAAGTCGCACTGTTCCACATCCATCCTGCACTGGCCTCCCTTTCTCCCTCTTCTTTTTCTCCCTGATTCCTGACAGCAGCACCAGACAGCACCCTGCCGCCCTTCTCCACCGGTGGGCCCGGGCGGCATCAGCTCATGCGAGTGGGGCTCAAGGACGAAATGCGCCGCCTGGGAGGGCTGCAACTGGTGGCGGCCGTGGCTGCCAGGCACATGCTGCAGCTGGCACGCTCTACACTCCAGGTGAGGGATTGAGAGATGTTTCAAACCGACCACATTCCTCTCTAAGATGTCCTAAAGCGCTCTCAATCTGTTTATACGGGTGGGAGAATGGCACGACATAGAAATATTATTGGTCACTGAATCAAATCCAGGAGGATCGAGTCAATCAATTATATGCCTCTCCATCACCTTTCTGTCACCAATGAATCTGGCCTTCTTTTCCCAGCCATGTGCAGGTGGCGTGGGAGAGGAAGCAGAGAGGGAAGCAGCAGCAGGAGATGTCAAAAGGCGGAAGCTGGGGAACAAGGAGCATGCACTCGGACTCAAGAAGAAGCACCACTTGCAGCAGCACCACAAGCGGATGGGTGGCTCTGAAGCAGCAGTAGCAGCATCAGCAGCCAATGAGGGACTGACATTTGGCGGAAGAATCTCCGCCAGTGCTGATGTGGCGACGAGCTGTTTGGGCGTGTTGGAGCATGTGACGTTCATGAGCCGCGATAACCAGGTGTGTGCTGCGTGTCCCTTCTGCTCGTTCCAAACCTCCTTTCAAGTCAATTGGAGCCGCTAGGCTGTGTAGAGTGCTGAAGGTCTGCGCATGGTTTTTTTCCTCCCCCCCCCCCCCCCCCCCCCCCATCCCCCCTCCTCCCATTTAGTGATACAATCTCAACGTTGTTCAACATTTGTCTTTGCCCCACCAGACTCTCTCCTTGCTCACTGACATTCTCCCTGGAGTTGCTAATTGTGCTGACTAAATAATGAGCCCATTTCTACTTACCTCCATCCATGTATCCCCTCGCCCACCAGGACTATCTCATCCACCTCTCCTTGCCCACTGACACTCTACCTGGAGCAAAGCGAAGAAAGTTGTCCGGCTGCCGCACCGCCTCTGCCGCTGCCGTGCCCCTCGTGGCCACAGTGGCCTCGAGTGGGGTTCTAGGGGAAGGGAGGGGAGTCAGCAGCAGTGAGCGGCCATTTCTTGCTCTCCTGTTGGAGTGCCTGGAACGCCTTGCAGGTGAACTCACTGCTGCTGCGCAATAACCGGCATTTTGATGCCTTCTCTTCTTTAAGACTCGAGTTTTTGTTTTTGTTTTTTTTTTTTCCCTCCTTCGTGCTGTGCAAGCTGGCTCTTTCTTTACTCCTCTTCTCCGCCTTCCCCGTTTTCCAACCCCGTACCCCCCCTTCTTAACCACCTTTCGCCCTTCCCGTCCCCCCTTTTCCGAATCCACTTTTCCCGCTTCGACCCACGTCCCCTCTTTCAGGTGGTGGGGCCGTTCATGGCTCAAGGGGCAAGGAGAGCGCTAGCTCTTCAGGAACAGATTCCGAGGGGGATGAGGGTAGAGCAGTGGGAGGGACAGTGGGGGCCAGGGGTGGGGGAAAGGTTATTCTGGGCGATGCTGTGCCTCTGGACTTGGGGCGAGAGGAGGGGAGTGAGGAGGGCGAAGAGGGGAGTGGGGAGGACGAGAAGGGAAGTGGGCGAAATAGGAGGAAGAGAGTGTGTGGGGTGGCTGCAAAGGGGAAGTCTGGTGGGGGGAGGAGAGGGGTCCAGGCAGGTGGCAAGGAGAGGGCATCCGCAGACCCGTTTTCCTTTGACCCATGGGAGGAGGAGGGTACAGGGAGGGTTTCAGGGAAGATTGCAGGGAGGGTTGCAGTTAGTGCTGCAGGGAGGGCAGGTGCAGGGAAGAGCAGCAGCGTTGATAAGGGGCAGCAGGGAAAGGCGTCTTACACTTCGGGCGCAAGGCGTAGTGCTGTGAAGGATGTTGTGCAAGAGCAAGAGCAGGGCGTAATGCTGGGAGAGGCAGTGGAGGGGGATTCTGATGAGGAGGGATGGCGATATTGCAAGAATGGTGCTCATCTCATGGAGGTCAGGCATGGTGCTGTGGTGCTGGGGAAAGATGTGTCGGCAACAGAAGAGGACCAGGAGAAGGAGGGGGAAGGGGAGGAGGATGGGGAAGAGGGAGGGTTGGGAATCTGCAAGGATCGCTGTGGTGCAGTAGGGACTCGCTGTGGTGCTGTCGGGACTCGCTGTGGTGCTGTCGGTAGAGGAGGAGCAATTGTATTGGGCGAGGCGGTAGGGGAGGAGCAGGAGGGCTCTGATGAGGGGGGGTGGGAGGAATCTGGGTTGAGTGGCAGGGGAAGGCACGGTCGAGCGAGTGGTGCGATTGGGGGCGGTTCAGGGGTGAGAGAGGGCGGTGATGGACGGCTGGGGAGGAGTGTGGGAGTGTTGAAGGATCCATATGAGTTTCTCATGGACTCACAAGTGGAGGAGGAGCTATTAGTGTGGGAGGGTGCAGTTGTTGGGGGGGGGATTGGGGGGGGATGGGGGGAGGGGAGGGGTGTGGGAAGGGGCGGGGTGGTGTGTGTGGGTCGGGGATAAGGCTGGGGGAGGAGGTGGAGGGATGGAGCAGTGGGAGTGATGGTGAGGGTGGTGGATTTTGTAGGCATGCATGCGTGGGGGGGAATGCGAGGAAGGTGCAACATAGGAGGGAACAAAATGGGAGGTCGCAAAACAGGAGGGCTCACGGCAAGAAGAAATGGGAGGAGAAGAGGCAAAGGAGGCCATGGGGGAGGGCGAGAAGGATCACCAGAACAGTTTGTCTACAAGGAATGGTTCCAGAAATGGTGCTTGCAACAGGAGACAGGGTGGCTGCATTGGTGGTGGTGGCGATAGTGATAGTGATAGTGATGGTGATGGTGATGGTGGTGGAGATGTGAAAGAGAGGCTGTCAGTGCGGTCAAGGGCAGGCCGGCGGTTTGTGCTGGCAGCATGCAAGGTGCTCATGAACGTCACCAACCACAGTGCAGAGGGGTGCAGAGCGGTGGCAGGGGCGCATGGGATCGCTGTGGTGGCGTCTCTGGCTGCAGCCTGCTGCTCTGACCTCTGCTGGCAGCATGCCCTGGCATCTGCTGGGGGCCCCGTCTCTGGCTGCAGGAGAGCCAGCTCTGGCAGCAGCTCCGGCAGCAGCTTCGGCAGCAGCTTCGGCAGCAGCTTCGGCAGCAGCTTCGGCAGCAGCTTCAACAGCAGCTTCAGCAGCAGCTTCGACAGTTCGCACGGGCTATGGGTCCGAGGGAACTGAGGCAGTGACAGCTGGAGCATGTGGGTTGGACGATGGAGTGCAGGGGAGGGGGAAAGGGGCAATTAATGGGGGAGGGGATGACAGGGGGGAGTGTGATAAAGCTGAAAGGACTTGTGAGGGACGGGAAAGGGAGGGTGCAGGGAGCGGGGAAGGTGGGCACTGGAAGGAGATGGTGACGTTGCTGGTGGTGCTGCTGGGCCTGATAGTCAACCTGGTGGAAGCTGATGGTGACGCCAGGTATGTCTGGGTACTTTATGTGGTGCGTTTATGCTGTAAATGTTGGGCGGGGATGGTGGGCGTTGGGAGGGAGATGGTGACGTGTTGGTGGTGCTGCTGGGCCTGATCGTCAACCTGGTGGAAGCTGATAGTGACGCCAGGTATGGTTGTTGCTGAGAATGCTGGGTGGGTGCAATGGCAAAAACTTTCAGGGTTTAGGGTGTAATGTTGCCCCTATGTGTGCGTGCACTTGTCCTGGTGGTGCTGCTGGGTCTGATTGTCAACCTAGTGGAAGCTGATAGTGACGCCAGGTATGGCATACTGCAGATTTGTGTGATGAGTTCAGGGTGCTGAGAATGCTGGGTGCAGTAGCGGAGATGGGCGTGAAGCCCCTATATGTGTATGCACTCATGCTGGTGGTGCTTCTGGGTTTGATGGTCAACCTCGTGGAAGCTGATAGTGACGCCAGGTACGGCAGAGGCTGGGAATGCTGGTTTGGTGCAATTCCAGAAACGGGTGTAGTGCGCCTATATGTGCATGCGCTTTTGAGTCGACTCAAAAATCGACTCAGCACACTTGGTGCAATTCCAGAAACGGGTGTAGTGCCCCTATATGTGCATGCGCCCGTGCGGTGCGGGTGGTGCTGGTGGGTGTTGTGTTAGCCTTGTGGAGGGTGATAGTGATGCCTGGTATGGGTGCTTCATTTGATGAGGTGATGCTGACACTGACAAGTGACAACAGCGGAAGCATGCATCTACCATGCACATACGTGTGCTTGCCCATGTGCATGTGCATGTGCATATGCATGTGCATGTTCATGTGCATGTGCATGTTCATGTGCATGTGCATATGCATGTGCATGTTCATGTGCATGTGCATGTACTGTGGTCCTTGTGTTTGCATGGTCCATCTGACGGAAGCTCAGGGTGCCATGGCACCGGGTAGGCTGCTTCTGCTGCTGATTGTCCTGTGTGTGTGCTTCTATGCATATGTTCCGTTTGTGTGCGTCATCCCACCCACAACAACTGTTCCGCAGATCCCTACTGGCAGCAGCCACTTGCACGAGGCGAAAGCAGGGCCAGCTGCACTCCAAGCAGCACAGAGCCAGAGACTACAGCAAATACAGCACCCAGCAGCACAAGGCCCATGGAGACAGCATGCAGCAGCACAGTGCCACCAGCAGTGGGAGCCGTGGGCAAGAGCAGGCAGGGAGGGCAGAGGAGAGCGTGTCGATGGTGTCCCTCCTGTGCGCCATCTTTGCATCTCGCCAAAAAAGCTCCGAGCAGCAAAAGAAGCAGCAGCTGCAGCAGCAGCAGCAGCAGCAGCAGCAGCAGCAGCAGCAGCAGCAGCAGCAGCAGCAGCAGCAGCAGCAGCAGCAAAAGGAGAGGCAGGATTTCGCTGCCAAATGTCAGATTTCGGAGCGCTCCAGCCACGAGGAAAGGAGCACGGCGGTGGTGAGAGGGAGTGAGGGTGCAGAAGAGATGGGAATGGCGGAGCAGAGGCGACTGGCGGAGCGGGAGGTGGAGGAGCTGCAGATGAGCGTGCTGGGGGCAGGGCGAGATGGTGCTGCAGGGGGAAACGATGGGGAGGTGTGGGGACTGGAAAGGAGGAGATGGGGAAGCCATGGGGGAGGAGATGGGGTCGGGCGAGATGGTGATGTCGATGATGGTGGAGGGGGCAGTGGAGGCGGAGCAGCTGATCATGGAGTCACATGCTGCTCTGCTGCTCGGATTGCTGGCGCAGCACAGGTGTGTGTGTTTGGTGTGGTGGCGTGCTGGTGTGTGTGTGGCATGTTGCTGTGGTTCGAAAAATACGTCTACAATGCGCCTCGCAGAGAGCTTTTGGAGAAGCCAGAAAAACACACTCACCAGGCTAAGGCCGCGGTGTCCTCAGAGATTTTTTCAAGATTTCTAAAAATTATCTCAAAGGCTAAGGCCGAGTTGTCTCTACAGGTGACTCGAATGGAAGATGTATGTATGTATGAGCAAGGCCCGGGCAGGCGAGCAAGGCCAGGGCAGGCGAGCAAGGCCAGGGCAGGTGAGCAAGGCCCGGGCAGGTGAGCAAGGCCCGGGCAGATGAGCAAGGCCCGGGCAGGTGAGCAAGGCCCCGGGCAGGTGAGCAAGGCCCGGGCAGGTGAGCAAGGCCCGGGCAGGTGAGCAAGGCCCGGGCAGGTGAGCAAGGCCCGGGCAGGTGAGCAAGGCCCGGGCAGGTGAGCAAGGCCCGGGCAGGTGAGCAAGGCCCTGGCAGGTGAGCAAGGCCCGGGCAGGTGAGCAAGGCCCGGGCAGGTGAGCAAGACCCGGGCAGGTGAGCAAGGCCACGACCGAGCTGTATGAGGCTCTAGCATTGTAGCCACCTTCCACATTTTCACATCACGTCACATCCCACAGTGCCCTCCTCGTTATAATCGCCCTCGTCATAGTGGGCCGCTCAGTGCCATTGTTTCGTGCGCTGCACTGCATTTTTATGTCCGGTTTGGCCAGCCTCAGATCTCTACCTTTTCTTCAAAACCCCCTCTCCCCTCCCTTCCCTCTCCCTTCCCCCCCCCCCCGTCCCCTCCGCCTTCCTTCCTCTCTTCCCCCCTGCAGCGAGGCTGTCTGTCACTCCATCTGCCGCCAGCTGCCAGGCTCCTCCCTCCACCCCGCTGGCTCCTGTTCTGCGGCAATTCATGGTGAGCCTATTATTACGAATCAGTTCCATTAGAGAGCTTGTAGAAATCACGAGTGGTGATAAGGATGTGCACTAACAAAGTGTTTGCTGTGATAAAGTATTAGGCCTCACGCTCTCCCTCTCGATCCTTATATCACCATTCGTTCATGGCGGCGTGGTGTACCGCAGGCGTTCCATGACAGTGTGGGAGCACTCACTGACGAGTCACGACAGCTGCTGCGCCAAGTCATTGTCTTCTGTGCTTCTCACAAGCAGGTCTAGTCTCACAAGCAGGAGTATTAGTCGCATGGCAGTGTGGCCATGGCAGCAGGATGACACCTTTCCCAGTGAGGCACAGAAGACAATGGTGATGCTGCACTGAGTCATCATTGTCTTGCAATGCTCTCATGGGTGGCAGCAGGATCGACAAGAATGAGTGGGTGGGTGGCAGCAATCAAGATGGAAGGAGCAGCAGGACAGGGGAAGCAGCCGACTGGGTAACATGGGAAACCCTAGCACACTAAGGTTGGTCTTGTCTATTCTTTTATTCTTTCATCTCGGCATTGATTGACACAACAGAGTACAGTCACTTTACTTTCTCAAGCATTTCGGTGAATCTCACATACCAAGGAAAAGGGAGGTGCACACAGTAGTTCAATTGAACTCCATGCCTAACTAGCATGTTCTCCTTTCCTTCTGCTCCCACACAAAGCACGTTGCAGTCTAAATTCATGTTTGAGAATTCTCATTAGAGCCCCACAGGCTGTTCCCTCTCTCCATCCTTTGCCTACATCCTCCTCCGGTCCCCATTCCCCCTGGTTCAGAAACCCATGGCACAGCCATCTGCTCGCCCCTCCGACCCCCCCCACAGCACGCCACTCCCCCTCTCCCTCACAATCACCTGCCCCTTCCCAAACACCTCCCTCGCCTCCCCCCCCTCACCACCTCCACCTGATGCCCCCTCCTCCTCAACTCCTCCGCCACGTCATCCCTTCCCAGCCCCTCCTCAATCGCCACGTGGCTCTCTCTTACTGGCCCAGGTCCGTGTCCAGGCGGGTCGAGGGAGGGGAGGCCAGAGAGGCAGAAGCGGGGGCGGTCGAGGGCGGACTGGGGGTTGAGGGAGAGCAGGGCGAGGCTGGTTACCACCTGTAGGTGGCCTTGGGGTTGCATGAACCCGCCCATAACCCGAACGTGCAGTGCAGGTCCCCTGCTGGTACCCCTTCGTCTGCTCTTGACTCTTCTGCTGCTTTCTCTCCTCCTGCTGCTGCTGCTGCCGATGCTCCCGCTGCTGCTGCTGCTGCTCCCTCTGCTGCTGCTCCTCCTGCTGCCGATGAAGCCGCTGATGCTGCTGTTGCTGCTGCGGGAGAGGGGGTAACCCCCCACGTGGCGAGACCAGGAATGATGGTGTGGTAGGGGCGCTTACCAGAGCCAGGCAGTTGGGATGGGAGGGATCCAGGGAGAAGTTATGCCCGCGGTTCTGCAGAGGAAAGCCGCACCCCTGGGGGACAATTCCCGTGCCAAAGCCCATGTAGTTTGAGTTGATCATGCTGCACGCGTTGCCCTCCCCGTCCACCGCGCAGAAATACACCGTATCAGTCCCCACTCCTCCCCACGCCCCAATCCCTGGCTCAACGATCGCTGCCCGTGTTAGATCTATCTCCCAGCTCGTTTGGCTGCATACTCCTTAGATAAAGCCTCCCCCAGAGGCACCTGCACGTGCTCTGGGTCAGCCACACACGCCAGCGCATCTGCAAACCCCATCCGCATAGCCTCGATCATCACATGCGCATAATCCGCCTCCCCCTTGACCCACCCCTCCCGAGCCTCGCCCGCAGCTTCGGGGCCCGCTCCCCGAGCCTCCTGGACAGGCTCGGGAACACCGTGCGTGGAGTAGTAAGCCTCGGTGATGTTGAGAGCGATGAGAGCGGCCAGGCCGTGGGTGGGGGGAGGGACCTCCCAGATGGTGAGGCCGTGGAAGGTGGTGCTGATGGGCGGGGCCACGGAGGAGGTGTGGGAGGCCAGGTCTTGCAGGGAGAGCACCCCGCCCTGGGCCTGCACTGCTGTGACTATCGCTTCGGCTACTGGGCCTGTGTAGAAGCCCTCCTTGCCTTTCTCTGATGGGGGACGGGGTAGAGGGAACGTAGAGAAGGATCAAGTACGGTATGAGGCTCTGCAGCGAGAGGTCACGCAGAGAGAGCAGTCCCCTCTGGGCCTGCACTGCTGTGACTATTGCTTCCGCCACCGGGCCTGTGTAGAAGCCCTCCTTGCCCTGCTCTGGTGGAGGAACGGGGGAGAGGGACCTTTGAAGAATGCAAGGAATGATTCCGGGGAGGAAATGTATGTCCCAAAACGGAAAGCACGGCATTGGCCATTACTCGCAAGGCGCAAACTGACACTCCAGCAGTCAACGCACCTCCCAGCAGTCAACGCACCTCCCAGCAGTCAACGCACCTCCCAGAAGTCAACGCACCTCCCAGAAGTCAACGCACCTCCAGAAGTCAACGCACATCCAGAAGTCAACGCACCTCCCAGAAGTCAACGCACCTCCCAGCAGTCAACGCACCTCCCAGCAGTCAACGCACCTCCCAGCAGTCAACGCACCTCCAAGCAGTCAACGCACCTCCCAGCAGCCTCAGTGTGTTGCCCATGCCCGGGTTCCTCATCACCTCGCCAGCCCTCGGCGCCCTCCTCCCCGTCCACCAATAGCTCGCCGCCATGTGGCCCTCCCTGCTTCAACTGCCACGTGGATCAGAGGGTGTCCAGCACAGAAAAATGCCAATTTCATGCTGATAATGAATTATCTTCTGAGACGTCTCAACATTGATCATCCCATGCTCTGAAGGCAAAAGGGTGCCAATCCTGTCCGTGCCCCACGTCGCACAGACCTGCTCCACGCCTCTCTCCCACTGTCCAGCTGTCAGCGGCGGCACGGGCCCAACCGCCTTCCGCCAGCTGTACGGCCGGCTCGAGCGCCTCGCGGAGCGACACGTGGCGCGATCCGAACCGTTTGGATGGCGTCGGCCCAGCAGGCGGCGGCGCCGGGGACGGTGACCGTGAGGGGGGTGGAAGGGGGGAAGCGGGTGCGCGGGGGAGAAACCGAGTGTGGCGAGGTGGGAGAGCGAGAGCGCGGCGGGGCAGCGGCCGTTGCCCTGAATACTGTGGACCGTGCGCGTTGATGCGCGGTAGAAGAGGAGGAAGGCGTCTCCGCCTGGGGTTTGTGGGTAGGGGAAAGGGGAAGGGAGGGTGGGAATGGGGAGTGAAGGAGATTAGAGTGAGTGAGCGGGAGGAAAGACGTGGGCGGGATGCATGTACCGCGGGGGTTGAGGCGCGGGGGTGCCGCGGGGGTTGAGGGGCGGCAGAAAGGAGGAGAGGCGCCACCAGTTGCAGTCACGGGCCGCGTAAGGGATAGTGAACAGTGTGGGCGGTGTGGACGGTGCAGATTGGGGTGAGGCTGAAGATCGGAAAGGCGTTGCCGCCTGATCGAAGATTGTCGATGTGATTCCCACCTAGGCCGGTGCTGCACGGTTCGCACACCGCAAGCGCCGCCGCCATGGCGACCGCCGCGTCCGCCGCGTTGCCGCCGGCCCGCAGAATGCGGAGGCCGCTTCGCTGGCGAGCGGCTGCGACGACGCGACCATCCCGCGCGTCGCGAGGACGGGCGAGCGGCGCGACGGCCACGCATAGGGATCTCCGGTGAACATGGCGAGTGCGGATTTGTTCGGCGCGAAAGGCGAAGAGGTTGCCAACATGTGGGGTTGCGGCAACATCGAGGATGATATGTGGCATATGCCCTTCTTATTGTCAGACCTCGTGACCCGGTTTTGTGCGCCAAAATAGCGATTACTTGAGTTAAAAGGCATGGAAGGAGATTCCTCCCGAAAATGCACAAATTACCGACGTGAGCAAATGAGGTGGCCACTTTCAAAACATTACCTTCACGAAATGAACACTTCAAAGTTCACATTTGCGAATTGGTCTGCATGGCAAAGGCAACTCTTCAGAGAATTCACCATTGTATGTACCAGCAGTAACGTATTCATTCCCAAACTAGCATTCATGAAACGTCGAGATTGCATACAATATCGGGAATAACAAAACGCTTCAACTGACTGACTTGGAACCTGGAACAGTGTAGTGTAATACGGTACGAAGACAGGCACCATTTACAAATCAACCCTTCCTTCCCAGCGCAAACACCAATCAGCAGCACACACCTTCCCTCAAACTCTCCAGCTCCAAACCACCCCAAGTTCCCAACCTCCCCCTCCTCCCCTCCCCTCCTCCCCCCCCCCCCCCCCCCCCCCCACTCTCGCTACATCTAAGCCACGGGCAGGCACACTAAAGCCCAGGAGCACGTCTCGCCGCCCCTTTCCCTTCTTCACACCCGGCATGACAATCCGCTCCGCCTCCCTCACAGTCTGCTCCTCGTCCTTCCTGCGTCTCATCTCCTCCTCCACCTCCATCTTCCGCCTCGCCTCCGCCATCTCCCGCTCCATCGCACTCGCCTCCTCCCGCAGCTTCTGCTTCTGCTGCAGCCTGCTCTGATGACTATCCTTCACACTGAAAAACATCGGCCCGGCCTCCGCCAACCATCTTGGCTCAACAGCCGTCACACACTGCATGTATTCCTTCGAAGTGAGCACCAACTCATGGTAAACCACATACTCCGGGGTCGTTCCGAGCCCGTAAAGCGCGCTCGTGGGGGTGCAGGTGACAGGGAGTGCCGGTGCGGCAGCTGGCATACTCCCCCACGCCTTTCAGCTTCGCCGCGTGTGGAATACGCGTGCAGATCGCCCGCCGCACCACATCCCAGTCCTGCCCCGCGCTAGACAGCGGAATCTTCTGCTGCTTGAGGATATCAGCTAGTTGGGCTCGCACCTCCCGGGCTTTCCTCAGGCCTTTCACGTGAAGGTAGTGGTCGGAGCACCAGTCGCCGCGATACCCGTGGACTTCCACTGCTGGAAGACATTTAGGAGCGTCAGGTGGTCGCTCTCGGGCACGAAAAACTTCTCCCGGGCAGCGTCAGACTCCTCTTCGCGGTCCTTGGGGCGGAAGAAAACCGACGGCACCGAGAGCATGGCCACCATGGTCAACGTCTCGTTCACACACCCAAACTGATCCCCGGATATCAACAGCTTCGCCAGAGCAGGGTCTAAAGGAAATTCCACCATCCGCCTCCCCGTCTTGGTCAGTGCTCCGGTATTGTCCAGCGCTCCTAAGATCCAAAGCTGGTACATAGAGTTCAGAATGTTTCTCCTGAGGAGGAGGGTCAAGGAAGTCAAAATCCAGGAGGTTGTCGATGTTGAGGGATTTCAGCAGCAGCACGACATTCCCGAGGTTCGTGCGCTGGATCTCCGGGACTGGATTTGCCAGCATCTCGTTCGCGTAGGCGGTTTCTGTGTACAGCCGGTAGCACGTTCCCGGACCTGTCCGTCCGGCTCGGCCGGACCTCTGGTCGCCGCGGCTCGGCTGATGGGGAAGACCTGTAGCGCGTCCATACCCATGCGGGGTTGTAGACCTTGATCTTGCTGTATCCACCGTCGATCACGTACAGAATCCCATCAACGGTCAGCGACGTCTCGGCGATGTTCGTCGCAACGATGCATTTCCTGGTACCTTCCTCGGCCTTCTGGAAAATCTTCGCTTGGAGATCGGCCGGCAGCTGGGAGTAGATTGGGAGGATGGAGAGGGGCGGCGGGGGGGGCGGGCGGCGCCGCCGCCATTTGCTCGAGGCGGTCGGCGAGGGAGAAAAGGTTGCCTCGATGTCTTCTTGGCCGGTCATGAAGATGAGGATGTCGCCAGGTGGCATGGTGACGTGGATGGCTAGCGCTTGCTTGACTGCCGCGTCTACAGGGTCCTCACAAGGCGACTTGCTCCACACATGATGCTCACTGGGAAGGTGCGCCCTGGGATGAAGAAGACCGGTACGCTGCAAGAAAGGAAGGTAGAGGAGATGGGGGAAGGAAGTGAGGGGTTAAGGATGAGAGAGGGGCTTGCTTCACATGAGACTGACGGGGAAGGTGCGCCCTGGGATGAAGAAGACTGGGACACTGGGGGAAAAGAAGACGGGAGTTGCAGCGGGGAGGAAGGTAGAGGGAGGGAGGGTGGAATGGTGTGAGGATGGTCTATAGTGGTTTCATAGAGGGGACCCATGAGTCGACTAAAAAAGGAACGCATGTCACCTATTAAGGAACGCAGAAACCATGCACTTGCACTGCACACAACAACAGGCAGGGAAACCCACAAGCAGTGCGCTCTCAGGTACTGAGGGATCGCTGCAAGCAAGACACTGAATGGATGCCCTACTAGTCGCAGCACACCCTCACCTGCCCCAGCACCCCTCACCTGCCCCAGCACCCCTCACCTGCCCCAGCACCCCTCACCTGCCGAAGAAGTGGGAGAACTTCTCAGCATTGAGCGTGGCGGACGTGACGATGAGCTTGAAGTCCCTTCGTCTCGCCGCCACGTGCTTGAGCACCCCGAACAGCACGTCCGTGTTCAATGAGCGCTCGTGTGCCTCGTCCATTATGATGGCACTGTGGGTGAGGGGGGAGAGGGAACGAGAGCGTTGGAGGAACGGGGGGAGGCAGTTCAGGACAGTTTGTGGTTACAAAACGCTCAGAGGCCCTGATTGATCGGACACGATGGCACACAGAGAGACGACATGCACCACCTACCCAGTATAGGCGCAAAGGCAAAGGCATGGCAAGAGCATGGCATACACCTGTATAGGTCAGGCAGAGGCAGAGGCAGAGGCAGAGGCAGAGGCAGAGGCAGAGGGAGAGGCAGAGGCAGAGGCAGAGGCAGAGGGAGAGGAAGAGGTAGAGGTAGAGGCAGAGGTAGAGACAGAGGTAGAGGCAGAGGCAGAGGTAGAGGTAGAGGCAGAGGTAGAGGCAGAGGTAGAGGTAAAGGCAGAGGTAGAGGCAGAGGTAGAGGTAGAGGCAGAGGTAGAGGCAGAGGTAGAGGCAGAGGTAGAGGTAGAGGCAGAGGCAGAGGCAGAGGCAGAGGTGTAGAGGTAGAGGTAGAGGTAGAGGCAGAGGCAGAGGCAGAGGCAGAGGTAGAGGCAGAGGCAGAGGCAGAGGCAGAGGTAGAGGTAGAGGTAGAGGAGAGGTGAGGTAGAGGTAGAGGTAGAGGAAGGAGCGAGCGGCGGGCACACACCTGTACTGGTCGAGGTCCGGCTCTCTGGCGACTCCCTCAGCAGCACTCCCTCCGTCATGTACTGATGTTGGTGGAAAAGAGAGGGGTGTGAGAAGAGAGTGTGAGCAGAGAGGCACGGGACGACCAGCTGCTACAAAGTCCACCAGATCGTTTAGCACCACACAGCACCACACAGTACCACACAGCACCACACAGTACCCGCACCACACAGCGCCTCAGACACGCACAAATTTCTCATCTCATTGGCTGCGCAGCACCACACAGCACAGCAGGGCCTCGGAGCGAGAGTGCGTAATGTTTTAGTCCGTGCTGGTGCCTCGTCATCGAGAATCATATGGTCATCACTGGCAGCAGTACCAAAGATCGAGCCTCATTTCTGGATCAACCCAGAAGTCGCCTTGCATCACTGAGTTACCTGTGTGTGTCGACCCGTTTCTGAGTGATAAAAGTGTTGTTCTGAGACGTCTCAAAACAACACTTTTTATCACCTTGCATCACTGAGTTTACCTGTGTCGACCGTTTCTGAGTGACCCAATGTAAGAATCATCATCATCGGCAGCATCGCATTGCAGCATGGTGGGGCCTTTTACAGGTGGCATAGCAGGACCACCCTTACA